CAAGAGGTTTTCTCGCCAAAATTCTATTTGCATTCCTAAACACGTGCCCAGCTCACGTGTATGTCCCAGAGTTCACTATGCTAAGAGTACTTTTGCCTACTGAGTGTGTAAGATAGAACTTAAAGAGATAAGTGATATTTCGTAACAGTACAGATTTCGGGTTTGTCTACTATGACCTGTATTTCTATAAGATTCTGAGTAAAATGTAGTAATTCCACGAAAAAAAATAGAAATTTAATGCAATAATTTAAAGAATCGCATTTGGTATGTTACAAAATAACACATTTTGTTATACGCTTTAATGAAATATATTTTCTATTAATACTGTGTTAACTCTAAGTGTTTTCTAAACTGTTAATGCTAGAGCTTCTGACTGTTTAACACTGCACTTTCACTCACCTCGTTCTCTTGCCCACTGAATTCGCTTCTGTTCTACTAGAGACAGGCACTTCGTACTATCCATGGTGACCATTGCGGTCTCAGAAGGGTTTAAACTGCCCGGAGGAATGACTGACTATGGGTCGAGCAATTCACAAGTCCTCCTTCAATCGATACAACTACCGTATCCATAGCAACAATATATACCGTCGCGTGCTTGTATGGCATTCTGGAGTCACCAATGCCGTATGTAAAGACCTAATCGATAATACTTGTTTTTTTACTTTGTTTCCGGTAAGCGAGATTGCATTCTTTGCGGGGAAGGCAGTGGGGGGGGGGGGGGGGTAAAAAGATGTTGATGGACTTTCTGTCTAGAGCTGGTTCAGTTTGCTGGCCTTACTTGTCATGCAAAGTAATTAAAAAGCTATGTATGAGGAAAGCTTTTTGTTTTATTCATAAGTCTCTAACGGGCGGGCATCTCCGCGTGTCAGGATGTTATTATATGGATGACTCAGTAGCTGTGGTTCACCGTACTCAGCAGACGGTTAAATTAACTTGCAAGACTTTCAAACCACGTACCCTCGGTTTTCTTACTGTTCTATAAATCTCTTTGACGCGTGCTGATTTTTAAATTTACTTAAAACACTCGTAATCTTAGCTGGACTAAGATATTCAAAGATATGGTTGTTATATTTCTGAATTTAAACATGATATACTGCATAACATCATGCATTTATGTAATACTTTGGATATTTGCCAGGTGAAGTGTTATAGACGGTGTCAGGAGGAGATATACTGTAACTTGCACTCATTTCAACAAATATAATTAGGGTTACCAATTCAAGAAGTATGAGATGGGCGGGATTTATAGAACGCACGGGAAAGTTGAGAAATGCGTACAGAATTTGAGACAGAAAACCTGAATATAAGAGACGGCTTGGAACAGATGGCATAAGTGGGAGGATAATATTAAAATTAATCTTACGGAAATAGGGTGGGGGTTGGATTCATGGGGATGAGGGAAGAGTCCGTTAACACGATAATAAACCTTTTTGATTCCATAAAAGTCGTGTAATATCTTGACTATCTGAGCGACTATTCAATTCTGAAGAACTGGACTCCATGAGATTAGTTAGTTAGTTATTTACATTAAATAATCAAGTTTGTTTACATATGGTTTGAAGTCTTGCGCTAATGAAAGGACAGTGTAGTCGCGAAGGATTGGTTGCGGATGAGAATTTTCATTAAAGAACAACAGGCCTGTTTATTTCGAAATGGGCTCCAGGACACGAAATGAGTGGTTTATGGATAACATTGCTCCAAGCCACTTCATCAGATTGAACTGTGGTACTGACTGGTCTGCTACAGGCAACGTGATATAAATGAGGATTTTTATATTTCGAACAGAATGGGAGATGTAGGGTTGTCCACTGAGATGACTGGACATAGTATAATTACGTGGTCTTTACACATTTATACTACGGTAATACTACACCGAAGACCCTAAAATTAAATATATCATGTAATTTTCAAATTATACTTTCCTGTCTACTCTTACAAGTATTTTTTTTTACTAAAATACCTCTTTCCTAGGTTATGACTATACGAGTGGCATAAACTGGCTCAGGTTTGTGTCCAGTAGCAGGCTTTGGCAAACGGTGTTTGAACCTTGAGGTTTTGTACCACAGAGTTGATTATTTAGGTCATTAGGTAGAATTCTGATGTGGAAAGCTTCAAATACAACGAATCCTTCGCTAATTTAGCAGGACATATTTGATCTGTTTTATCGAAATGTCTCTACTTACACATCAAAACACAGAAACTCGCAGACACACATTTTTTTGCTTCGAGCAGCTATTCGAAACTTTGATTTTAGTTTTCTATGGACCCAGACCGTGCACGCAGCCACTAGAATCGGTTAGTACAAGACCTAATCACTTACTCCCTTAAAGTTAATTGGTAACTATATGTAACACCTGCTTTAGCATTCAGTAACTCTGTATTTTACTCACAGAGTGTACGGGGTTCTTGTGTTCCCTAGAATAAACAGCAATTATTTATTTAAGCACCATTAACTAATTGATATTTGTAATGGAGAGGTGTCGTGTTTTCTTTTCGGTACGGACTGATGTAGTGGCAAGATTATTTGGTGTAATAATGTAACACAGTAGGTTATCAGTTTACACAAATTGTATTTGGAATTTAATTGGGGGCATGTTTCGACCATAATATAGTACAGTACAAAGCAGCATAACCTAATATTTTTGTTTCTGTAAGAACAGCAGACGGTTGAATTCAGCTCATCGCCACGGGTAGTTCGTCACGTCTTAAGGCAACTTTATCACCTTCCTACAGAAGACTAGCTTTGTTCTACCAAACTTCTCACTGCAGGATACCTGTCTTACAAATTGAGTCAATTTGTTCCCAGTATTATGTTCTATTAGTTACCCCTGCTCGTTTGTTCCTTCATAGGGAAGTTTGTACGAACATTTATGTGGGTTCAGGGATTGTAGTGCAGTATCTCAGTGTAGACATTATAATTAAGTCTGCTATTTCTTCTACTGTACAGTCACAAAAATCTGTCGTTGCGACTCAGATATTTTGTAAGAATTTCTTGTCTCTCCACCCAAGCTGCATGTCCTGTCCATTGCAACTCTTAATTTTACTGTCTTAACAGTATTAACCTGTAAAAAGTCACGAAGTTTATCTCGAAGTGCCCCCCCCCCCCCCGAATATAGAGTTTTCGTTCCATTCTTATATTATAATTTGCGTCGTAATATCTGTTCTGTTATGAGAAGCGTTACCTTGAAATGTACTCACAAATAGAGTTTAGAAAAATCCCAAAGTTAACAGAATATGAGAGTGTAGTTGAATCTGTGACATCCTCAGATCTGAATATTCGAAGCGACATACTCGTACACAATTAAATTTCCCTCATAAACATGTAAATCTTCAGTTGGTGTTCGTGCGGCATGATATAATAAGACGTCCCAGTTTCAACTCACGAAACAAATTTACGAAGTTAGTGGCGTAATAAGAGAATTTGTAATAATAATCCGTAGCGTAACACCCCTCCGAGAGCCAAAGTCGACTAGCTTCACTGCTGGCCTCACGTTCACATGCCTAAGCAGAGGTGAATGATCATCCAACCAGATATAGAGTGACGTGTGGTCAGCCATTGCTACTTGTAGTTTTCATGACCAGATTACGCTACTCATTGTAGCTCTCCAATTTCCTCACGATGCTGAGTTGGCACTGGTCCCGTACACCGGTTGAAAATCTCATGAGAAGTTTCTTTCCCCGAGACTCGAACCAACGCGTATTCCGCATCACCGGTCCAAAGCATTGTGCCTCAAACCGCGCGGCTACGGCGCGGGACATAAGATAATTTAGAGCATTGAATTTGCATTTAATAAACCATAACACTTTAAATTTAAGGGATGTCGTATTTAATTAATGCACTTTCAGAGTCCTTGCATTTTAGTCTAATGTGTCATTGTAGAGCGTGAGTCTTGATCGCATGGATACTGTGAACGTGGTTTCGAATTCCACACCAGACATGGATGTTTTTCCTTGTCCCTGTGTTTTGCTGTTCTGTGAACGCAGAGATGTCTCGATGTGGGCTAATCATCCGTCCATCTTTCTAAACCAAGAACCCGTAAACGTTAAGGATGATTATTATTTTTATTGTTATTGTCATGGTGGTGATGAATACTGGCACAGAGTGTGAGACTATATTCCTTTGTATTTTAACTCTGTTGTGATAGTAGCAGGCATTTTACTGAAAAGGTCTTGACCAATTCAACATACTTCGGTGTTTGCGATAAGTGCTGCCATCAGTCGAGGACGTTGGTATTAACAATAAAACAGATGTCGCTCGCGCGTTGAAATGAACGACAAATTGATATTCGTTGGTGAATGAATTCTATTCATTATCTATTTCTAAGAATTGTAGCAGTTAAAACTGTAATCAGAAAAGTGTGTTAATAATTTCAAACCCTTAAAAAAGTGCGGTGATGTAATATACAGCTCGGTATAATAACATCGTGTTTGATTTTGTGACTAGCAATATTATTGGTTATGTTGGCCATTCATTTTTCGCGCTATTAAATTATATAATATAAATAATAAGCGGATTCTGGCGGTAATTAAATCTAGTTATATTCAGCATTTTACGCATAATTTAACAGAGCACAAATAAGTGTGGTGACGAGCTAACAGTATCGTGTGTGGCATGCCACAGGTGCCATGCACATGACAATACTCAAATTACAATACAACAGTTAACTGTGCTGGTTACTAGTGTAAACTAACGTTTCGTCTGATGATGGATCACTATGGAAACTACGCCAAGTAGAAGCGGATTATGGGTGTTATGTGGTAAGTCTTAATAGGAATAATAACACTGGATTATCATGGAACATAGCTTGTCGTTTACAGTGCTTGACTACTCATTTAACCAGCACGTGTTTTCTAAACTACGTGCTTCGTATCTGAATTACTGTTTAGTTATTTAGCACATTTCCTTCTGCAAAATAGTTTCAGGATACCGACCCGGTAATGTTTGTGTTGCATTTAGAACGCCGTAATATTCACTGTTGTTTCGTTACACGGGCTTGAGGTATGGGTGTTAATTTTAGAGATTTGGGATTCACATAACATTGACGATGACAGTTATGGTCTTGTGCTTTGTGACGTCGTGCAATTTTACAAGTGGTCTTCAGCCCTGAAGATTGAAGTTATATTTCTCTGCGAAGCTCTGATAACTACATACAACTATGAAACCAAAATTATCTGGTTTTAACTTTGTTGAAAGAAATGTTCATGGTTTATGTTATGTTAAGTGTGCATAAGCTACAAAAGATACACCATGCTAAGTTAAGAAATTTAGGGCAATCCGTACTAATTGTAGATGCTTCTCTGTAGTGCACTATGTCGAAATGGTAAATATTACCGACGTTTCGGGGAAATTTTTGCAACTTTTTCCAGGATCTTTTAGTCATTCGCCTAGGTGACATACAAAGATGGCTCTGCATTTGATATTAGTATTGTTTGTAGCAGGACTGTGGAGTCCGTACTAAAATCTCCGACTCCGACCCAGACTCCTTCATAAAGGCTCATAATTGTATTAATAAGGGTAAACCTACTAAAATGGTAAATGGCACCATAAGAGATTTCATCACCACTAAGTAAATCATCAGCCTTCTTTTTAGACTTATAACCTATATTTAAGTATACGTCTAATTTTTATTACAGAAATCGGTTGATTTGTAGACAGTCTGTATTCTTAAGGTACCGGAGCCAGAGTTACACAGCATTATTCCCACACCACGTGGCTCAACGCGTCCTTGAATCTCCCTAAGCGTGAGTCCACCGGCGGTTCACACGCTATAGAAATCGTTCTTAAGATTTTATATCGAGATCGGAGTCGGAGTCAGTACATTTTTACCGACTCCGACTCCACAGTCCTGGTTTGTCGGCTAGACTAAATAGCAAGTTAATTGACAGGAGAACCTAGAGTTTAGAATATACGTATGTGCTTCATACGTCATTGCCTGCCCGAAATTCGGCTTTAATTAGCGTGAATCAAACCACGAGAAGAGAGATGTCTTGTTCTGTTAACTTCTGGGAAAACATTTTTTGACGTAAATACGTCTATATTGAAGGGTCATTCGGCAAAAAAAAAGGAGAACGAAAAAGGGAAACGAAAAAGTGTAACCTGGTTACCAGGAAACGTCAATTGTTTACTCGGCATTGTTGTTACCTATAAAACATTACATTACATTACCTTACCTTACCTTACCTTACCTTACCTTACCTTACCTTACCTTACCTTACCTTACCTTACCTTACCTTACCTTACCTTACCTTACCTTACCTTACCTTACCTTACCTTACATTACATTACTTTACATTACATTCAGCTACCACAGACCCATTTTAAGCGTAACTAATTCAAGTTAAATAAGCAAAGTCTTAATCAAACTTTACTCAATTTTAGAGCATGTATAAAGGAAATATTTAGAATAAAGCCAATATATAAACTTCCTTTCCGTTTAGACGTATTTACGTCAAATTCTCCGGAACCGTGGTTCCACTATCACTTTTTTGTAACAAAAACGGACATGCGTTTGCAGAGCCGATATTGGTACAGCACAGACCAAATACGCAGGACAGCTAGTTAACCACAGTTATGGAGGAAGGTTCTGCTCGATATGAAATAACAGATAGGTTTAGATTTAGGAAAGCGCTCAGCTTTTGCATTATAGTGGACCATTACTGGCCGACAATCTTAACCTGAACTATTTCCAATACGAACCTCGGCATCATGGTAATTTAGCATAATATTGGAGACGCCATTGGTGTTCGTGCCACAAGTGGATGGATTGTCGACTTGCGGTCAACATGGCAGTCAGGTGAAGCGTTAAACACCTCGTATCCTGGAGAGCCGGTTTCACATCGTTACTGCAGTGCAATTACACGTTAATATTGATAATAAAGTGAATGTTATTCTTTAAAGTTGACATGCTGTTCCTCCCTTTCAGCTCTGGAAACACTTGGGTATTCAGTTTTGTTCTGTTGGAGGCAAATGAAACTTCGTACTTTTAGGCATGTTCGAATTTACGCGTAGCGCCTATTACAAATGATCTGACCGTCTGTCTGCACGCATGTAAGAACTCGAGAACTGCTTAATTGAATTCCATGAACTTTGATTTACGTATTGGGGGGGGGGATTCAAAAATTTATAGATACATTCCAATTTTTATGTAGATTGTAAACAGTAGCTGATTTATTTGAACATGAAACAAGTAACTTCGTGATCTAGTGGTTAGCACTCCTGATTTTTATTCGGTGATTTTCCTCTGTCCCTCCAGGCAAATGCCGGCATAGTACCTTGAATTAGGTCACGACCGCATTTTATTTTATAATATGTTACATTTATTTTATTTCATTTTACAATAAACTATATTATGTCTAAAAATTGGTACATATTATGTATGAAATTGTTGTTATTAATGAGACAATTACAGATATGTTTGACGACAAGAGATTTTGTATTATGGCATATTTTGGAGTTACTAATTTGTATAATATTTAATATTGTAGTACATGAACTAACTGAGAACATACACTGTATTTTCGTAATTTAATTCGCCTCTCTCCATTTGTCGTTTGCAGTTTCAACACATGGCTTCTTACAGTGATGAACAGGGTGGTAGGTAGGAAAATGATAGATGAAAAGGAAGAGAAACGAGAATATGCAGATTGTAGAAAGAAATTCTACGTTCAGTGTTACAAACATGCTGCCGACGAACGATTTAAGTGGCAGAAACAATAATACTCGTAGATCACTCAGGCCGCAGGTCTCTGAAAACATGCAGTTTTTAAGGTCTTTATGCATACAAATTGAACATTTAAACGTACCGAGTATATGTTTTTCGGCTGATTGACAAAAGTGAATAGGTATTGGGGCTTGATCCGAGAATAGGAAAATGAAAACTCATAATTTTTTAATTGCGTTATTTGCGAAATTCTGTACCTCATTGTTTCGTAAGAGGAAGTATTTTTTGGAACGTCGATATCGGTCAATTTCTTCACACAAGAATCTGGTCTTAATGGTTGCAAAAGCACGTGCCTGAATTAGGCAAATAGAGTCTTCGTTGTTTGATAAAAGTATTACAGTGTATTTGACAGGTTATATTTAATTTAGTAGTCTGAAGTTTTGGAACAAGTGATTACAAGCCTGTACTGATTTTCGTGCAGTGGAAGGGGATGATGCTTCAGAAACTAAACGACAAAGCAAATTGCGGCTGCTGAGAGGGGAGAATACTGGGTAATGCTAGCCTAGCGTCGAACAGTGGCATTTCTGATGGAGCTGTTGTTTTATGCGTTCGTGTTAAATTTCTGAAAGGAAAACATAGAAGTGCACAGAGGTTCAAAGGTTCGCACGAGATATACGCACATGCGTGATATGAAGCGACAACATAAACAATATTTTCACTTGCAGAGTGCTTCGTTCAGGGATCTTAAAGCCTGCAGTAAATATTAAAACAAGGACAAAAATAATGTCTGGAGTATGGAAAAATCAGGTTTACTTGTGATAAGACAAAATAATATACTTGTGCTTTGTAAAAATCAGAATTAGAATCGGAAGTGAATATTTATGTATTTATAGTTTATTTAACGAAGCCTTTTCAGTAGCAGAGATTGTATAGCGTCGATTCAGAGGATGGTAGTGAATAATGAATCGGAAAGGATGTGGAAGGAAGCGTTCGTGGCCTAATTTGAGGTACCATCCCGGAAGTTTCCTGGAGGGACTGAGGAAAACCACGAGTCGCATTAGGATAACCGTTATTCTGGCAGGGATTTGAACCCGAACCCTCTAAAATACGAAGCAGGTCGAAAGTGTAGACGTACCTTAGCTTTCAAATAATCTTCCATAATCTACACTGTTTTTCTTTACTTATATGCATACTACCTCATTTTTAGTCATAAATATCACCAAAAAGAAGAAGTTTTCATGTTATAATTACAAGAGAAGGAATACGGGCCTAGAGTTATCGAGGTACTTTTGAATCAGGGGCTTAGAATTTGTGTTTCAAAGCGATCTGCAAACATAGAAACAGAAGTCTCAAAGGTTCTGGCCCCTACATCAAAGGAACTAAGTCTGTTCGTAGCATATTGCTTTTAAAGGTTTCTAGTCTAATTAGTTTCAAATATATACATAGGAACAACTTTATGAATAAATATATCATTATTAAATTGTGACATAGTTTTGCAGGCAGTCTGAGGTTAGGATTTGGTCGAATATAGCCAACATCAAAAATGGCCTTTTCCTTTTTCAAAGGCCAAACATTGATTTGTATGGGAAATCGCTAGTTTTTAGTATAACACTTCTTAGGTCTTCGTTCTTGCGTCACTTTTACCCTTACGGATTTATGGAACTCCTTTTCTAAGAATAAGGGAAAATTTCTACGTCCATGGTAGATATTTAGCCCTGATTCATGGTTCTTAATATTTGGAGTTTCTTCGTCAGTGTGCGAATACTTTTGTCTCATGTCGACAGTGAGACAGTAATTATGACATAAACATGTGAACAGAGTCTATTTACGGCTCTCTTAACGCTTATAAAATTTAATATTTTGGTGTTTTGAGTTGTAGTACACTGTTTTTGCCACTTTGTGATGGTCATGTTCCCCTGGAGCTTCGGCAATGTCTTGTAGCAGTTTAATTTACTACTTGCAGGCAACAGCCGCTTACCACCAGTCGCTGTATAATTAATCGTCGCTACCAAAATGTGACAAGCAAAGGGGAACTATTCTTCCCTTAAGTCTGAGCCTGGGCTTTACGCAGTAGAAGGCAACGTAAGAAAGCCTGTG